ACTACTACTACTACTACTACTACTACTACTACTACTACTACTACTACTACTACTACTACTACTACTACTACTACTACTACTACTACTACTATATATTCACTTTTCCTTTGTCAATTATTCATGCATCGTGAGAAAACAATTTTTTTAAAGTGGGTGATTGGGGGATGCTCTGGTGTGGTTAAGTTGCTCCCTCTTTCCTATCAAATTTTGCTCGTCTTTATCTGTCCTCTTTTTTATTTAATTATTTCAAGTTTTATCTATCCATCTATCTATCTATCTATCTATCTATCTATCTATCTATCTATCTATCTATCTATCCATCCATCTATCCATCTATCTATCTATCCATCCATCTATCCATCTATCTATCTATCCATCCATCTATCCATTTATCTATCTATCTATCTATCTATCCGTCCGTCCATCCATCCATCCATCCAGCCATCTATCCATTTATCTATCTATCCATCCATCCATCCATCCATCCATCCATCCGTCCGTCCGTCCATCCATCCATCCACCCACCCATCCGTCCACCTATCTATCTATCTATCTATCTATCTTACGGACATGACGTCGTGCCGAGCTGAGCCTCGAACCTCCTAATCCGCAGCCTCACGATTTTCATGAGTCCAGTAGCCTAACCACAAATGCACAGGATTACTAACTTTATTAATGATTGTTTAGCTTTATAAGATTTTAAAACAGACGTTGCCATGACAGTAAGTGACCTCTTTGTCCCTCCCCAGGACGAATACGACAAGTTACGAGAGAGGCTGTGCTCTCAGGCAGACGTTTACCTGCTGTGTTATGACGTCAGTCGTCCGGCGTCATTCGACAGGGTGAAACACCATTGGGTGCCAGGTAAAAAAATAAGATAATCACGATATCTTATCGGCTTAATAGCACTGTTCTTTAATGTAGGGATATGAGATGGTAGAGGGTTATTGTGAAGTATTCGTATTAATTAATTTTTTGAATTAATAATCGAATTAATGAATAGCCAAATTAACATAATGCTACATTATTGTTAATTGAATTCTGCTTCTTTTAATAATATCAATAACATTAGAGTGAAATGCGGATGTAAAGTGCTCTATATGTACATAACAACCTTGAAATTGTCCAGTTCCTGCTGTTTTGAATGTAGATTTTTGGGAAGTGTATTTTTTAAAAAACTTCTTCAAGTTCAAGCGTGCGGTAACTAATCAAAACTTTCTGCACCTGCTTTTCTAACCTTTCGAATTAGCCTACTCCTTTAGCAGATTCCTACCCTTCCTCAAAACCCATTGGTGATACTTCTTTCTTTCTTTGTTGTTGTTGTTGTTGTTGTTGTTGTTGTTGTTGTTGTTGTTGTTGTTGTT